ACTTTGCAAGTGAGTGAAGATCACTAATCAAGTTATGGAGTGACCATAATACATATATAGTTTAGATAAATCTTTGTCAAATTACACAAATCATTTTCAAGATTTATATATTCTGGGTATACACAGCAAAGATGTTGTGTTTTCCACTGCAATCAAAATATCAACACCAAGTCTCCTATACTTGACATGAGTGTCAAGTCTTTGGTATCTTGGAAGCAATACAAACACCAAGGAAAAAACTCCACATAAAGACTCATTGTATTAATCTGCACCTAAAAATAACTGTCCTCTCCTCATCCCAACACCTTCGAAAACTCAACTGAAATTTTCAGCAACATGAAAGACATTTCAATGGCTTCGCTTGTACTATGTTTCTATTTAAAGAAGAAGAAGAAAAGCAAGACAACAATGGTTGAAGAAAAAGAAGTTAAGCACATTGATGCGCATCTGAGAGTTGAGGAAGCCATTGTTGAAGGTCCACATGGACGGCCAGAGACTGTGGTGCTATCAATGGAGGAAGATTTACATGTTGATGATGACATTATTAGGAAAAAGAAAGAGTTAGAAGCTCAAAATCTGCATGCTAAATCTTCAGAAACAATCCCTTCTGCTCTTGAAGTTGGACAGTCTTCTTCTTCTTCCGGTTATGGTCACAGCTAGACATGTTATAACATCAATTCATGAATTTAATATACAATAAAGAGAACTCATGATAATAATTATCATGTCAAATTATTGTTTTTATTCATTTTATTGTCAATTTGTTTCTTGTGTAGGAATTTACGATCTATATTGATGATGATTTACAAATGCGTACAAGTATTCTTTCATTAATAGTTAGCATGTATATCATGTTTCCTCCCTCCCAATTCGTTATCCTGTTTTGCATTTTCAGGGTTATCTTATTAGTGAACGATTTAAGATCATATGCATATTTGTTTTACCTTTAACAGTAAAAAAAGTATAGAGTACTAATAGTAAGAAAAGATCACTTCAAAGTATATGCGTATCAAATCGAAAGTTACAAAAAGGAAACATCTCACTCTAGCTTTTAACTCTGATTGTATATTGTTTTAAGAGGCTTAAGTTCCAAATTTCATGTGACGTACTAGTAAGAACAAAGACATTAAAATAGAAGACAGATAAAATATCATCTCCCTAGTCTAGTTTCTGTTAAGTCAAGTTAACCATATCTAGAAGAACTGAAAGAAGAAACTCCAGCTAACCTTTTTTATTCTCTTGCGCGTACTTAGAAGAATTCATTGTCGAAAGTTCGCGAAATTATAAACAAAACAACTATAGGGACTGACACTTTATTGAATGCTTGTTAGAGAAATAGGCGATCGTTAGAGATTCTGAATATATGATCATAAGAAAATATCCAAAAGTCAAAAGGTGAGGAGATCATTTAATATGATTGAGTTAGGAAGCTAAGATTGAGAGTCCCATTTGAACTTGAAGAGGCAATATTATGGTGATGGTAGAAGAGTGTGAGTCATCTTTGTGTACAAGGAAATATGGCTAAGTCTGCCGTTTGCGAAAGAGGGAAATTAAAGCACTCCCTGATAGCACATTTGTGGAACCATTGCAGTTGACTGAAAGCACCATGAGAATGCTTCAAAGTGTTAGGCTAAAACGGCACAAAGATATATATTGTTAACATGATGTGATATTATGGGCCAAACCCTTACAATTTTTCCTTAAAAGGTCTCACACCATTAAGAGTATCCTAACTCCTTATAAGTAAAAAGGCCAAATATTTTCTCTCTCTTCTCTCTCCAACGGCTAGTAACGTAAACTTCCTCAGAAGCACATTTTCCTCACGCTCCACCTGATGGAGCTGCCGGAAGGTCCTCTTCCAGTGAGTAAACATGGGGGAAATACCCCACCAACAGCCACGAAGCTTAACAATGAAACAATTGAAGAAAAACAGTCTTATGCTACAAGGGTCACTGCTCCTTCATCTTCAACATCGAACCCTACCCGACCGGACAAAGAAAAAGTCATTGCTAGACAAACAACGCACAACGAGATACCAGCTGTGATATTCAAGGCCAAAGATTACTATGGCATTATGGCAGAATCCTGTAAGTACACTATTGTGGGCCGATTTCTTAAACCCCGTCCCCAAATCGATAGACTTAGGTCTAGATTCAAAGAATTGCTTACTTTGAAGGGTGCTGCTAAAATTGGTGCCTACGACAACTACAATGTTTTTATCGATTTTACAATGAAGACGACTTCAAAACTGTGTGGTTTAAGAAGGTTATTGAAATAGAGGGTATGCAAATATGGCTTCAAAAATGGTCACCGGATTTCAAACCGGAGGAGTACCTCCCTATCGCTCCGGCATGGGTCCTGCTACCGGGTCTTTCTTTTCACATGCATGATTGTCATTACATCAAATAAATCTTAAGTCTATTGGTACACCTCTGGCCTTAGATGCAGCTACATTTGGGAGAACTAGGCCGAGTATGGCAAAAATTAGAGTTGAGGTTGATTTGCTAAAACCACTACCTGACTCTATTTTTGTTGGGCAAGAATATGATGAATCTCCTCTAAAAGGCTATACTCAAAAACTGGAATACGCGGTTGTTCCTAAATACTGCAAACACTGCAGAAAATTAGGACACAATATGATCAATTGCAGAGCATTGGAGAAGAAAACTATTGCCTCCGGTGAAGAAAAACAAAAGTCCACTACAACAAAAGGGGCTTTAGTGGCAATAAAAAATAGAATTGGCGGCAATAACAATAGCCGCTATATTATTTACCGGCAATTGGTGTTTAGCCGCTGAAGTCGGGGTTGGTAAAGCCTTTAGCGGCATTTCTGCCAAAAGCTAGTAAAAGGTATGACTTATTGCCGCTAAAACTCATTTGCTTTAACGACAATTGTTTGCGGCAATTATTATGGCTGCTAAACCATTCTAAAACGACTAATAATGCTCCTTTAACATCCATTTTTATAGCCGCTAAATTCAAAATATTTGTCGCTGAAAGTCCATACCTTTAGCGGTAATTGTTTTGTGGCAATTAGAGTGGCAACAATATCTCTTCTAAAAACATATTAGTATGCCCCTTTAGCGTCCATTTTAATGGCTAGTAAAGTCAAAAAATTGCCGCTAAGAATCATCTTTAATAGAAATATAATGGCTACAATATCCCTGTATAAACGTCTTAATCCTATTAAATTGGCACTAAAAGTCACAAGCTATAACGATAAGTTTAGCCACCATTAATAATAGCTACTACATTCGACCAAAAAATAATGCAAATAACAAAATATATTAATATTAATTCATAAAACCATAGTATATCTCGTTAAATCTTAACAAACAAAAGGAAGTACTAATCCAAAATATTAATATCACAAAACCTTAAGAAATAACTTATATTGTTTGAAGTAAATAACTAATGTCATTATATAGCTAATCTTAACGAATAACAATCTTCAAATAATCTCTGCAACTCTTCGTCATATTGAAATCTTCCACCCGTTAAATTATCGAACATCAGACTGTATGACCTAAAATTATAAAATAACTATGTCAATAGATGAAATATAATAATAGTGAAGCATGTCACTTTAATCTGCTCATAGTACTAAATAGATTAGACAAAGAAAGTGTCTGTAAGTTGATATGTGCTTGAAGTAATATGAGCATGGATCAAAGAACACTAGGGAAAAAAAGGAAAAGAGTATTTAGAGATGTTTATAAAATACTATTTTCACCTTTTCAAAAAAGGTCAGAAGTCATTGTCTAAGAACTTTAGCCCCTAATACAGCTACACACAATAATTCACCTTTTACCATGAAAGTAGGAAGCCAGAGTCCAGAAAAGTACAAGCTGATAAAAAGAATAGGTTACTACATATTATACTAGACTCACCTAACTGATGCTGAAAACAAATATTTTAATAATATAGTGGCTGTTCCAGAGATCAAACAGCAAACAAAAACAGATAATGAAGCAAATCACTAGAGGTCGAACCAATTGGATGCCATACATGGTTGGACTTAGCAAGATAATGCAAATAAATATGGACATACACAAAATTTCAGCAATTACCTAAAGCCATGCTTGATTTATTTTGCACGACTTGAGTACAAGAAAATTCAAGTCCCAACATTAACACGGTAATGGTAGAAGGACTCGTGTGAAACAATTAAGTGTTTTCGTCCATAATTTCAGTTGTTGTCACAAACACAACATACTCCAAACAAGCATTTTGACCTTCTTTTCTCCACAGTGATACTAATCATTCTTCATAGCATCTCTTTGTTTCACATGAATCCTTTAGCTACCCACAACCATGTAAAATGACGAGAAAATAAAGCAAGCATGTTCTAGATCCACAGAAAAACATAGAATTAAGGGAGAAGAGATAACATGATTACAAACTATTATCACATGATAACACTGCATCAATGCAACTTGCTGCTTCCTCTAGAAACTCCTTACAAGGCAAGGATATTACCAGTAAAGAACTAATTGCAGAGGCCATGATGTGGGAACAAAATGCTCAAAGCTTAAAGATCGACTTGGAAATGTCAAGGAAGGAGTTTTTTGACCAGAAACAGCAGATAGAAAACCTTAAGATGGAGCATCGTTCATTGGGCACCGGACGTGATGGATTGCTGCAAGAAATCAAACACCTGGAGGTCCTTTTTACAAGAATCCATGGAAAAGGAAAAAGCAACTGATAGTTTAATGCTCCAAGTAAGAGATATGGACAGTGTCCAAAAGATTTTAAAAGGGGAGCTACAGATTTAGAAAGAATCAAATGACAGTATGTCTTTACAGCTAAGTAAAACTCAAGAATCAAATATTGAATTTGTCTCCACTCTGCAGGAGATGGAAGAAACTGCTGAAAACCAGAAATTGGAGATTGAGAACCTACATATATTGAACCAACAGAACCTAGAGGACAAACTTCAACAGTAGCATGCTAATAGCCTTCATACTACAGATAAGTGAGCTAAACTTTTCAGATACATTCTATGAGCTTCCATAAATAAGGATTTCATATGTATCATATAGTTTCATGTCAGCTTCTGCACAAAGTGACAGACAATCATCTGCAGAGAACAACTTTTTAGGTGTATGAGTATTCTTTTTATATACAAAGGCAAGTTATGAGAACTCTTGACAACTATTTATATACTTATCATACTAGAAACATTGGCTACTTCTAGTGAAGACTTTTAAGGAGATGACTAAACAGCTTATGCGGTGTCCTTCTATCCAATTCTATGCTTTTCTCAAGTCTCCCTTAATCAGATATCTTTAGCAGTAAAACTAGCAACAATTCTGTGTTTGCTTTTGGGGATTCAAGCCAAAGTCAAGCTTCAGATGGTGATGTTAAAAGCGTTAAAATCCAAAAGCAAAATATGCCTGGAAGTTGCTCCAGAATTTGATTCCCAAAATATGCCTGCAAGCTTTTGGTGTTCGTGCTAACTCTTGCAAGTTTACATGAAAATGGAAGGAGGAAAATTCAAACAATAGAAAACTCAAATAGTAGCTTGCCGAAGGATAAAGATGAGTAGTACCGTGAGACATTGAAGTATTTTCAGCAACATTAGGTATCCTTGATGTTTGTGGTACTCGTTCATGGCCACTATTGGCGTCAGGGACCTGATAAATATTAACACACCAGATAACAATACTTTTATAGGATTAAAACTTCATTAGTAATGTACATAACTTATAAAATCGAGTTACCTGTTCAATTGAGGTGCCATTGATATTTTGAGGCATAGATTCATTGGAAGCATATTTGCGTATCAATTGTCGCATTTCGAGTAATTCTGATTGCATCTTCTCCTGATTTTGTTTCATCAGATTCATTTCTTCATTGTGTTTATCCTTTAACTCGGTTATCTCTTGTGTTAACCTTTGGACAGCTTCATTGGACGAATCCTCTCCAACAATATTTCCTAAGGAAGATCTACTACCCCATAGAAAAGAAGGAGTTGGACCAAGTCCTAAACCACGAACATACTCACTTTTGTCATTTCCGAACACCTGAGAATACACATTGCCTTCCCAAGCAACACCTCAAGGAGGTTGGTCAGTAGAGCTCTCACCATTGTTCGTCCTTTCATTATCATTTCCTGTCCATAAAATACATAAATCCAATTTGGAATTCATTTATTCGCTTTTATGTTTTTTCCTAACTATTTCCCAACTAAGAAATTAAAAGAAAAAAAGAAATCTTACGATTGCCTTGATAGATTCATCATCCAGTGGTCTACCATCCTTACGTTTTTTATGAGTTAATATGAAAACTTGTGCTCGTGTAGGCTCTATCCCATTTACAGCCTAACACAACAAAATTGATGTAAGATATGCGTGGAAAAAAATTTAAAATATTATAGTTAGTAGTTTGAACAAGTTTACCTGTTCATCCATCAAGGTAGCAATTCTTTTGGATCCTCCTGTGTGAGGCATCTTTTGATTGGCCCAATTATTTCTATTTGCTTGGGTACACCTCTGTCATTGAAATATTAAAATGATATCTTATGAATTATACATAAAAATTGCACATAACTAAAATTAAAACGCTGAAAATAATCAACTAGAGGTGTTTTAAAGATTTGTTAATACCTTAGCTTTATCTGAAAGCCAATAAGAAACAAGACCACTCCATTGATCCCTCAGTATGCGACTTGGTCTATTTTTCAGCAAAAGGTCTTTAGTCTTATATTTTTGCATATACTCACCTTTTAACTCACACTTGTAATCTTTCCATTTCTTTCCTAGTGACTTTAGGACATAAGCTTCTCCTCGTCTTCGGATAGAGAACTTCTTCTAAAAAAAATAAAGCCAACATTTAGAAGAAAATATCATGTATAAAAGATTGAACTCGTTCATATAATAATAATAATGATGATGATAATAATAATAATAATAATAATAATAATAATAATAATAATAATAAATAAATAAATAAAATAATAAAAATAATAATAATGATGATGATGATGATAAACTACTCCATACCTCACAAAATCCACCAATTTCTTCTTTTCCTCCTTGTCAAAATTTCTCCAATCATCTACATGTAAAGGTGTTAGTTCTGGAGTTCTCGCAACAATTCCTCGAAAGCTAGCAATCTTTCGATCTTTTTCCCCAATAGCTTGGTTACGATTATTAAACGGCACATCAACTACCTTCCCTGGAGGAAGTTTTCAAATATCTTTTAGTATAGTAGGCCCACGAACCTTTCTTGGCTCCAAATTACCTAGAATAGAAGATTCAAAGGTCATCAAATGGCAAAAACTTATATTGTTAAATCTTTTAAATAACTGTATAATGACAAAACAATGGACAACAAAAATCGTATATGTTTCAACATTAACTATATACCAACAGGTAAGTGTTTATCTTCAATTAAATAGTGAATGTACATATGACCTTCAAAGACACTCTATTTTGGGTTAGTTCTCAAATTCCAAGCTTTCAATCACTTGTTAGTTGTATCGGGGCTTAAAGCTAATTTGGACAACAGTTTCTTGTATAAAGCAAGTGTTAGCCAACATGAAGAAGAGAAAATGCTCTCAGCCTGATGCATTATTTGTTTGTTTTTTCTTTATTGTTTTCACATCTGATATTAATGCTTCATAATTGTGTGTAATGATAGTATACTTGATAGTATACCCGCCTATATCCTGTCTCTTAAACATGAACTCTGGAAGTGCGTCATTAGAGCAAAATATGGAGTGAAAGATGAATGTTGTAAACCCCTAGGTTTGGAGCTTGGTAGACCTACTGAAGAATACCCTTCTGGATTTGTATAGATTGGCATTGGATAAACACAACTATGTCGCTGACTACAGAAATTGGGGTGTTTAGAACATCAACTTTAGAAGCAATCTTCAAAGCAAGAGTTGAAAGATTGGTCCAGTTCTTTAGTAATACAGAAGGGGTTGAAGATCTGACTAGTGACTACAGAACTTGATAGGTTGATAAGGCGATGAGGAAATATGGGAAACAGACAAGATTCGTCGTGACATGCTGATAAAAATGGGGGAGAGGGCATACTGTGGCCATGGAACACTATCTGGAAAAGGGAACTCAACTTATGCAGCAGCTGCAATTACACACAGTTATGAAGCAGCAGTTCTTCATATCTGGAAAAGGGAACTCAACTTATGCAACAGTTCCTTGTTTATTGTTTCACATTTGAATTTTTACAATGATGAAGTTTTACTGATCTATATAATATTGAGGCAATAGTGAAGTTTAACTGCTCTATACAATACTGAAGTTTTATAATACTATAGTTCAAACTTTACTGCTCCTCTTTTACCAAATATAGTGGAGAGAGCATAATTCAATTCTTTTATTACTTTTAAATAAACATCCTGCTACATATCTTAAATCATTTGGACAATTATCTTCTAGCAATTATTAAAGTAAAAGAACAGACAAGATAACATATACACCAGAAAATAGTTTCAGATTTCCCATTAGCAAATCGATATTCTTTTTAGATGAGAAACAAAATTGGAAGGACACTACAACTGAGGAGTTTCTACCTAGTCTTAAATAGCTTAAAATCAACTACAGGTACACCTCTAATGTCTTCCTGATTATCATTTCAATAGGGAGGAAACAGGTATGAAGTTTTACAAAATTGAAGTTTTACTTCTCTATACAATACTGAGGCAATCTATACAAAGTATGCATGGGGAAAAGGAAAGCTTACCGGAACAAGCAAACCAATACTTTAAAGAAAAGCTTTACTGCTATAATTTCTTGTCAGATTTTCTATTATTTGAACAATACTTACATGAATTACTAAATAGTTTATTTTCCAAGTTGCTCTCTTAATTGTTCAAAAAGGCGTAAGAATTATTTTTTGTTGGTTTTTTAAATGGATATCAATTTGAAACACTTCAATTACAGGCCACATTTAGAGACAACCATGTGAAGCAGGTCAATAAAGCAAAGCAGATTTGTATTTAAGACATAATAAATACAAGCAAACAATAATTTAATTTTTGTTGCAAATTGCAATATATAACTAGTTCGATATCACAATAGAAATTACAGAAAATCATAGTTGCTAATTACACTATGTAAACTAGTTAGATTAACCAGAGTATTCACACAATTAAGATTTGAAAATGATTCCAGAGAAAAGTGTTACCTGATTCATCATCATTTTGTTGAACTTCAGTACCACCAGCAGAATTCGAATCATAAGATTGATCATCATGTGCCTGGTCTTCAGAAGAGTTTTGATTATCCATCAACTGCTCAATATAAGCCTGGGTTGCAGAATGGTTTTGACCATCCATCAAATGCTCAATATAAGGTCGCCCATCTTCATCGTCGTCTTGTTCAATTACCAGTCGGTTGCGACCTCTAGTTCGCATAGTTCCTTCTCCAAAATAAAAAAAATTATCAGTTGCATTACGCTATATTAGTACTAGATTGACTCCAACAAATCAGCAGGCCACTTGCAAAACAAGAGGAAGCATCATCCAAATTTCAATATGTGAAAAATGTCAACTCTAGTAACGCAAACAAAGCCTTGCGACAAATATTGTCCTAGAGATAAGAGTTATTGATGCACTAGGAAAATAATTATCAAGTGATAGTACCACCTTATAATATCACATTTAAATGGATACAATAAGCAAAATATAAGTAAAAGAAAGCACAATAAATTCACTCAAACATCCAATATTCAAATTTCTGAAGAAAAAAAATAACACCCTTAGAATTTATTACATAACACTTGCAACAAAAATATTCTATAAGTACCACCTATCTTATTTAGAATCACATTCATTTTCTATGTTATTTTCTCCCTCAATTAGCTTCACCATCATTTGGAGAAGGTTGAGAATCTACGTTCGTATCAATTATTATCCCATCGACACCACTTCTTACCCAATCATTATACTCATCTTCTAAAACACAAGTATTTTCTAAAAGAGCCAAGTCAGTGGCATCACTTTGCGTTGATGACTCAAACTGCACACTATTTTTCTCTCCCATATTAAAAATGTCTCGAGGTTTAATTAACCTAGGGACAAACCATTCATGATCTTGAGGATCTTGCACAAATATTACTTGTTGAGTTTGTTCTGCAAAAATAAAGGGCTCATGATGTTCTCGATCGCTAGAGTCTGTCAGGTGTGTGAAATTCACAAGTGTGAAACCCAAGTCATCTTCCTTAATTCCTCTACCTTTGGTTACATCAAACCAATCACACTTAAATAAGATGACCTTAAATTTCTCATAGTAGTTTAACTCCACAATATCATTCAATCTGCCATCATATGTGATATATGCAGATTTTGGAGCATTACCACTTGTACTTGCATAACTTTCAGTCTTTGAAACGACCATATCACCACTATTTTGTGTCACCTTGAACTCTTCACTTTGTTTTGTTCGGAATCGATACCCGTTATTAACATCGAACACACTGAATCTTTTTCATGTAACTCGGTCCTTGTGCAAGGACTTTAACATCCTTTAAGATGTTAGATGTGGCTTCCAACTCCTTTACCTAACCAAATAAAAGATACAACTATAAATGTGGATATTTGAACAAGGATAATAATTTAACGTAAATAATGACATAGTCCTACTACTTACTTTCTCCTTGAACCACTCATGAAATGTATCGAAATGCACACGATCAAGTTGATGTTGTGTCAAACGATGCTTACGATGTGCTCTTTTGATTTCCGCAATATGTTCCCTATACATGTAACTCGCATATATCAATTTTGTTATCAAATAAGTAATATACATATTGTATACGGTAGAAATTGATGGCCCAATTTCACGAGCATCACGGCATCTCGAGGGCTTCCAGTGTTCGACTCCGAGAATCCTCGACGGTCGATTTCGAGACAGTACGACTTCAGGACGTTATGAGTAATGACCGCCCCGGGACAATGTGAATCGTCGGTCTCGGTGATTCAAGGTGGAGTTACCAAGGCACGTGACTAGAGCTGACAAAGCCTATTGAACTAGTCTGAAAACGTATCTGGGCAGTAGGTGGCTATACCTGCCCCATATCTTTGTAATTAATGCTTTTGCACTATGTTCTCCCTTATATATAAAGGGGAACCCTTGTCACTTGTGGAGGATCTGTTGCCTCTGTTGCTCTATACAAAATACACAAGAACATTCTCTCTGCTCTCTAACACATTCTCTTGATATTATTGCTTCCATTTATTATCTTCATTATTGTTCATCATTTATTGCTTATCATTGGCCATAAAGAGCCTTTGTTGATTTTATTATAACTGTTAGTCGCTCTTCAGCTGCCTTCGATAGCTCACAGTCGAGCTCCAGGATCGACCTCGAGACCCCAGAATCGACAAGCTTGAGGCCCCGATTGTTCGCCTATCGATTTGGTTATCACCTTATTTCTAACTCTTATCTCGTTCCTAAATCTCTCACATAGCATCAACCGCTTAACAACCGGTATAAAAATAGATCACGTATTTTTATTTAATTGTTATTATCATTTTCACGGTAAACAGTTTGGCGCCCACCGTGGGGCTAAAAATAATAGTGATTATTTTCTTGCTGGTTCATTACACATTGCAAGTTATCTTTCACGCTTTTTCTTGTCCAAAAATCTTTGATTTCAGGTCGGAATGTCTGATTCAGTAAACAATAATCTTGAGAACCACGGAGAGAATGGTGTGGCTGTTCTAGGTGTTGGTGAGCTGCCACAAAGCCTTGAGAATGCACCCGGACCAATTCCAGTGGACGAAGTCTCGCGCGATGCTCAACACGTCGAAATAAGCTCCCACACTAACATGAGCATACACCAAGGCGACAAACAAGAAGCCCAGAAAACCCCAGCTCGGGAAGAACGGGAGGTTAGCCTTCACGTTATTTTTGAAATGCTACAGGCACAACAGCTGGCTATTGCTCAGCTGCAAGGTCACCAGAAAACTCCTAGCACAGTAGCACCAGGGACGGCTCCCCCAGCCGAGCAGGTACCGGAGAGATCGAGCAATAACGGGTCGGTAGCCGATCCCGCCATCGTAAAGATGCTCGAGGACCTCACCAGAAGGATCAAATCGAGCGAGAAAATGATAGAAGCCAACGATAAGAAGGTCGAGACTTACAACTCCAGGGTCGACCAAATCCCCGGAGCGCCCAGATCTTGAAAGGTGTGGACTCAAAGAAGTTCGGCAGAAGCCGTTCCCATAGGAAGCAGCCCCGAAACCCATTCCAAAGAAGTTTAGAATGCCCGACCTTCCAAAGTATAATGGAACGTCGGACCCTAACGAGCACGTCATCGCCTATACTTGTGCAGTAAAGGGCAACGGCCTAAGGGACGACGAGATCGAGTCCATCCTGATGAAGAAGTTCGGGGAAATGCTTTCTAAAGGGGCAATGATGTGGTACCACAACCTGGCCCCAAACTCTATAGATTCATTTGTCATGCTGGCAGATTCCTTCATAAAGGCGCATGCCGGGGCCATCAAGGTGGCCACGAGGAAATCCGACGTCTTCAAGATTAAGCAGAGGGATAATGAGATGCTGCAGGAGTTCATATCTCGCTTTCAGATAGAACGAATGGAACTACCACCGGTCTCCGACGACTGGGTGGTGCAGGCCTTCACTCAAGGTATGAACGAACGAAGCTCGATGGCTTCGAAACAGCTGAAGTAGAACCTAGTTGAGTACCCGGGCGTGACTTGGTCAGATGTCCATAACCGATACCAGTCGAAAATCATGGTCGAGGATGACCAGCTAGGCGCCCCCTCGGGCTCGGTAAATCCAAGCAGGCTTCTGCCAAAGGAGCCAAAACCAAACAAAGAAAGGTACCAACCATACTTCGAAGACACGAGGAACGCCCCGAGGCGCAACGTACCCCGCAACGATTGAAGGATGGACCGAGGACAGAATCCTCAGGGACTCGTCAACAGAGCCGGATTTGATAGGCACACGGGGCCAACAGAGGCACCTCGCTTGTCAGAATACAACTTCAACGTTGATGTATCAGACATTGTGTTCGCCATCAGTAAAATCAGAGATGCCAAGTGGCCCAGGCTCGTACAATCAGATCCTTCACAAAGGAATCATAACTTAGTGTGTGAATTCCACAACACGTACGGCCACAGGACCGAGGATTGCTACCAGCTCCGAGAAGAAGTAGCCAAACTACTCAATAAAGGTCACCTCCGAGAATTCTTAAGCGACCGGGCCAAAAATCAGTTCAGGGAAAGAGAAACGGCCAAGAAGAACGAAATGAGTGAGCCCCAACACGTCATCCATATGATATTGGGAGGCATCGATGCCTCGCAGGAACCCCTGATGAGAAGGACAAAAATATCCATCACTAGAGAAAAGCAAACTCGGGGCTACGTACCCGAGGATGCCCTCACATTCAGCGATGACGACATCAAGACCTTGTCTTAGCCTCACAACGAAGCACTGGTAATCTCTTTCCTTGTAAATATATTTCAAGTTAAACGTGTACTTGTGGATCCAGGTAGCTCGGCCAACACTATCAGGTCGAGGGTGGTAGAGCAGCTCGGACTGCTTGACCAAATCGTACCCGCCTTTCGAGTCCTCAACGGATTCAACATGGCGAGAAAAACAACAAAAAGGGAAATCACCCTCCCAGTCAACGTGGTCGGCAAACCCCAAAACGCCAAGTTCCATGTCATCGAGGGAGACATGAGGTACAACGCCTTGCTCGGAAGGCTGTGGATACACTGCATGAGAGTAGTGCCATCCACCCTCCATCAAATGATGAAATTCCCGACAAAAGATGGGATTAAAACCGTCTACGGGGAACAGCATGCGGCGAGAGAAATGTTCGCGGTGCACGATATGGCCCCGACGCCGGTACCTCCACCCTCGAAGGAGCCAAAGGATTATCAAACAGTAAAATAGCGATAGCAAGCTACGCCCTCGGCTAAGTCCGAACCAAATGAAGCGAATGACCGTACTGCCTCCTCATGACAAACGATCGAAACATCGCCGGCACATTCCGCACTAAGGTATGATCGTCTCATTTCTCTTTCAATTACATTACATTTTACGCTGACCTGAGTGCAGGGATTCAATAAAAATGGCCAAAGCACTCACCAACTCGAAGGCCTTAGGTTTCAAAAGCATGCGTTGCACTCTTTTCCTTCGACCGGGTTTTCATCCCAAAATGGTTTTTACCGGCAAGGTTTTTAACAAGGAAACACCTATATGCTACCTAAGGAAAACTCAACAAGTATTCAAGGCTTCTTTTGCAATCAAACTCAAATACTGGGGGGCATCCCCCCATAAGATCACCTTCTCGGAGAAGCTAAGACATGCTGAACAGGGTCCCAATAGGAAAATGATGTATCGGGCCAAACGGTCGAACGAACCGTGTCCGTATATGTCACGT